GATCCTTCCTCAAGAACCCAGCTTTTCCTCCAGGATGCAATTCCTCCTTGGCATTTCGACATTGGGTATCTGGCGAAGTGACAAATCTAAATTGTATACTGCAATGAAAACATTTGGACATTGGGCCAGATACCCAATCTGACAATAGAGCTGTGAGTGGATTGTAAAGTCCATGAGGCTGGCCCAGGGTATAAAGCTGTGTTGTGATTTGAGCTGTCACATTCTGTGCACTTTGCATTGACCTTACAGTCCTTGGCAAAGTGAGATGTTGATGAGCAGAGGTTGTTCTCCTTCAGGAAGGCTTTGCTGTCCTCCATGGACTTCTCTCTGAATGCTCTGCATTTCAGGAGAGGATGCAGCTTGTGGTGCAAGGGGCACTTTTTACCAGGATCTCTGACCTTTGTCCCGGTGTTAGAGGAACTAGCAGAAAACTAGGATCATTTCTTGTTTTAGCTTGCTGGCACACAAACTCCACCAAAACAGAGAAAGGGGGAAATAGAACATTGTATTGTCTTTTAAATCTGGAGCTTTGTGTGATGCACTGCTCTTGTAAGTGTAAGGTAACTTTTGCACAATGGGGTTGGCCCCTGTGGCTGTGTCAAGGAATGCAAGTCCTTGTAAATCCCCTTCAGATTTGGCTACCTGGAGCTCCATTAGCAAATCACATGCTAGTTAAGTTTCTGATAAGCTTTGTTAGGTATTTTGGGGAAGCTATCAAGTCGTTTGAATAGTGCACTTTCTATTGCTTCTGCTGAGTCATAACAATCATCAAGTCTATCCCAGATCATTTTAAGGCCAGTCTCTGGGTAGTTTATATTTATTGTCCTGATACATCTGGCATGCTCAGCGGACTCATTTCCTAGCCATTTGATAAGGAGGTCTATCCCTCACTATACATAAGGTCTAACAGGGTTATTCACAAAAGGGTGAAGAGTTTGGAGAAGTCAGGAGAAGTGAGCAATCTAGGACAAAATAGCTGATTTGGAAAAATTCTAATTTATCTTACTTTCCAGTTAGGCCCCGTTCACATTGAGCGGTTCGCAAATCGCGCGATTTGCTTTTTGCGCGATTTATCGCGCGATATCACGCAAATGCTTGCATTGAGCAAGCTTGAATCGCGGCTAAATCCACTCCAAAAAGGGTCCCGCTGTAGCGACACACGGCCCGCGACAGCAGGACCCTTTGCCCCATTGAGAAGCATTGGAGAGCGATATCGCGCAGTAAATTGTAAATTGCCGTGATATCGCTATATTACATTAAAATTGCACATATGTAATATAATTTTAATCTACAGAATTTTGGGGTTAATACCTGGGTGTGCACAAACTGGGTAAATGTTGATTTGGAAAAATTACTGGAAAATTGGTTTATCATGTTTCCCTATCTCAATTCTATAATCCCACCAGCACCATATTCTTCACATCTTTAGGAATATAGGAACAGCAACTTCCACAAGTGGGCAGCACCTTGACAGTCAGGGAACACATACACAGTGCGCCTCCCTTGTGTAAAAGTTTTTATTTAAAAAAACAAGATAAAAGGACAATAAATGTACTCCCAAACCAGCAGTCAGTGTACGTCTTGTCAGCACTGGCAAAGACCACAGAACAGCACAGCTTGAACTCTGCAGACTGGAGCTAAGCTCCTTCAAATTGCATGCCAGTTCAGCTTTACACATTTTTGTGGACACGCCTCCTTCATCAGTTTCACTGTCTTTCAATAAAACCTAGAAAATAAAATTATTTGTATACAAACCTGCTACCAAATTAAGGACTTATCTGCCCCCCACCCCTCAAAAAAAAAAAACACATATGTAATATGCTGGGACCTTCTGTGGAGTTTCCACAGCCTACAGTAAAAACATTAATTGTAAACCCTTTTTTCTGTGTTCCCTTCATTGAAGAACACAGTCAGTTATTTAGTAACTGATGAGTATATCTGCCACCTCTAGGACACTGAACACTAGGCACAACACAAAGACGCATTTAATGGCAATGTTCCTACACCATACGTTTAGCAGAGTGTCCTGAGGAAGTAGAACATCTCTTCCCAGCTCTCCTTAGTCAAGACTTTCAAACTGAAAATTCTTGTAATAAAAGCTGC